ATAGTAGTTGCAGAAACATAATAAAAATCGGGAACATAGAAGGGGAATAGGGGTATAAAAAATCCGCCGATTTGAAGCAAAATCCGCGATCCGAGCCAAAATATTAGGTAAATCCGCAATCTGCTGTATTATAATATATCGTGTTTAATAATACTATAATAATGTATTATATAATACCTTATTAAATTCTAATCGTTTAATTGGCTGTTTATGGTCACGTGATATTGAATAGAAAATTCCATTTCCCAAGAGTGCAATGGAACACGTTCCATCACAGGGGGCCCCACTATGAGTTATGATTGAAATCATATTGTATTTATTTTTAAAAACATACTTGAATCCCTTGATAATCGATTATTTCTTCTCTCGAAATTCTGTAAACATTTTAAACTGCTTGAATCATTATACTATCACTCTACATGAAGTATAGGTGATCGCTGACAAGTAATTCTTCCTTCTTTCGCCGCCTTCGTCTTTACGCGCCCGCGGTCCTTACTTGTCAGCGATCATCTATACTTCATGAAACGTCATGTAGAGTGATAGTATAATGACTCCAAGCAGTTTAAAATGTTTACAGAATTTCGAGAGAAGAAATAATAGATTATCAAGGGATTCAAGTAGGTTTTTAAAAATAAATACAATATTATTTCAATCATAACTCATAGTGGGGCCCCCTGTGGTTCCATTGCATTCTCCGCGAGTGCAATGGAATAAAACGTATAGTACAATTGCACTCGTTGTGTTTTCGATAAATCGCATCCCTCAAAATGCTTCTCATACGAATCTATTAGTCTATTTTGGTATTATATAAAACAAATAATGAATGTTTCTTCGTGCAATGGTAAGAATATTTTCATTCGGTGAAAGATGGAATGTTCCATTCAACTCGGCTGTCGCCTCGTTGAATGGAACATTCCATCTTTCACCTCATGAAAATATTCTTACCATTGCACTCATAAACATTCATTATTTGTATATTATATCGAACACCGAAGCTAGAATCAATTTGATATTTCTAATCTTACTAAACAATCAGGAATATATGTGGGTTTTTTATCGATTATACTTTATATAGTCAATATTTAAAACACCGTGGTGGCGTGGTTACTATTTCTTTAAAAATATTTCAAAAAGGAGAAGAAAGAGGTCTAATTTGGTAGGCGACGGGTTAAGTTTCAATATTTGGATAACCGTCTCCAATCCGGACCTCGATTCTTAGTAGTTTTATCTCGTATTTATATAAATTACAGTTTCTCAGCGCCGCGCTTGTGGGACATGCACATATAAGACTAGCGCATCTGCGCATGTCAAGCAAGTCAATAATAGACAATTCCCTTTGTAGATTAATTTTTACCTTGGCAAAAAAGTATATTCCCGAAAATAGCATACTAATATTAGTAAAATTGCAAAGTTTGGTTGAGAAATGTTGTAAAATGCGGAAAATATGGCCTTGCAAAGTTCGCAAATTTTGTATACTTTTGTATTGCGTGCGGAAATTGCTACCACATTTGGGTCGAAAATGGTAGGATTAATTTCCGCATGCAATACAAAAGTATACAAAATTTGAAAACTTTAAACGTCAGCCTATTTTTGCTTGTTTCATTGATTTCCGAAAGGCTTATGATAGCGTTTATAGAGAGGGTTTGTTCTTTAAATTAATTTACAAGGCCACTCCAAATTAGACTTTAGTTTCCCGTCCTCCGCCCGCGTCTTCTAGAACTGGCGCATGATTTGTCCATTATTGCGAAGTTGTTTCCATTATTTGACTTTTGTGACAAACAATTACGAAAAACCACAGTTTTCAAATAATCTATCGTTCAAGAAATACATATTTATGATACAACACGTAAAAATCGAAATAAAATTCTTGAAACTTTTATCAAAGAGCGTGAGTTTTTGTCCGTTTTCACTACAAACTGCTGAGCTACACACTTCCGTTACAAGTTTTGATTTTTGAACGTCAAAACCAAAAGGTTAATATCCTGGCTTTCGTTTCTGCATAAAAAAATTGCGTAGAAACGTGACTGAATGGATATTTAAAACGAGTATCTATTTCATGAAATAATGGGCCGTGTTTCATCTTTCAGACATACCATAATGGATAATGGAAATGGACCGCCCGCCAGCGTGTAATTTGAAATAAGGGCCGGACGGGAAACTAAAGTCTAATTTGGATGAAATTGATGAAGATCCATATTCAGCCAGTATAAATGCCTTGATTTTTGCTTATTTCGAAATGTTTTTGATTACCACCAAGTGCAGCCGAATTCGTTATTTAAATACTTTAATATCATGACATTCATTTGACTTCACTTTGTTGACCATGTTGTCGATACGATCTGTGCATGATACGATGGTACATTTCTAGTTTTCTACAAAATAAAAATATAAAAACTGTTGAAAGACATCAAGTGAATGGCAAAATAAACCCATGCACAAACAATTTCGTACCTCCAGATACATCATCTGGTGAACCTTCCATAACAGATTCAACAAATTCTACATTAAAAATCAGCGAAGACAAGTAGACAATTATAAGTAATAGCATGGCATTCAGGTCGATTAGTGATTAAATGTACCCGAAAGCCGAGAGAGGTTTA